CATCCTGCCCCTTGCCCCAAGGCCTGTATTTGTGACTTACTGTTCAACACTGTATTTAGATTCTGTCCATTTCAGGCTTCTGTGGTGAGTTGAGTTCTACCTACTACCCTGGGGCCATGCGCAGATTACAACAGGCGAGAGACTGACTCATGCAGAGCTGCTCCCAGCAGCACAGAGTCATCCAGAAAATGGAGGAACCAGACTCTAGAAAAATTCTTGCACATGTGCCAGAGATATATGCAAGAATATTCACAGAAGCAGAGTATCTTTAAGTGGAAAAGAAATGATAAATCATGTTATAGCTATACTGTGCAATGCTATATAGTCTTAGAAATAGATGAACATCTGTAGGCATCACAGCAGTATAATGTTGAGTGAAATAAGTGATCTAAAGGAAAATAACTATTGGATTAAACTCTCTTTTCCTTGAATCCAATGTGAGAGAGAATGTGGGCTAGAACTGATGTCACTAGATGATGAGTTTTCTCTTACCCTCCACCCATTTTCATTGGATTTGGGATTGTCACTTTGGTTTGTCCTATAACAGAAGACACGTCTGTACCGTCTTCATGCTGGCCTTGGTGGTCCTCCCCCTTCACTGCCACATTTGTCTGGAATCTAAGGTGAAATAATTTTGGTTCTCTAGCTGATAGCACTGCTGTATATGCAATATTATTATATTGCATATTGTAGTTGTGCTGTGCTTTTGAAATACAATAAAATGAAATGAATGAGTTATCTTATTAGTCAAATGAACAATGATCAGAAAGAGAAACATTGTAAAATCTTTCAGCTCTGTTGATACCTGATGTGTGGGCATTGTGGCAAGGTCATTCTGTTGGTTAAAATCTGTATCACTATCACCTATAAATAAATATGGTACAATCACCATCACTACCATCATTGCTATCATCCTTGTCAATTCCTATATAGATTAAATGGTCTAAAAACTGAAGAAATTTGCTTCCCTCCTACTTGCTGATCTTTATTACATGTAGGCACTGAATTTGCCACATGTTTACATTATGAATGTTTCTTTTGCTTTCCCTCCATGGTTAATTGAGTTAAAATACCTTTCCATTAAAAAACAAGCCACCAAGCCTTGGAAATCTCAAAACTCTCTTTAAAGCAAAACATAAGTGAAGAATATAAAGAATATAATGAAGGTATTTGGAGAATGTATGCTTTGCCTCCTGTCTCTTATATAAAATTAAGCATTTAAGTAATTTTTACGTTTGTTATGAGGTAGTAGGAAATTAGTCTTGGGACTACAGATTATCAATGAATGACAAAAGATCCATGCACAATAGAAGGGTTGGAACTACTTGGAATATAGGAAAAAATCAGACATGCAAAAATAATACTGAAAAACAGGAGATGAAATATCCAATGATTAAGTAAATTATCATACATGCAAATGATTGCACATAAGAAAGTCATAATGTTTTGAAGAGTAAAATGTTACATGAAGATCATAATATAAAGATAGTGTTTAAAAAGTGAAAATAAACTTTCAGTTAATATATTTTTTGTAAACAGGGTAAAGTATTGAAATGTATGTGCACAAAATGTGTGTGCATGCACAGACACAGTGGTTTGGTGATAACTATTTGGTTAACACCTGCCTTCTTCTTGGGATGGTAAGGTCCATGTGAGCTGGGACTATGTCTCTCTTAAGTAACCTCTTATTTGGGGTGGGGGACTGGTACTGGGGTTTGAATTTAGGGTCTCATGCTTATGAGGCAGGAGGGCTACCATTTGAGCCACCCCTCCATTACTTTGCTTTCTTTTTGCTTTTTACTTTGGTTATTTTAGAGATAGGATCTCATTTTCATCCAGGCCACCCTGGATCATGATTACCCTATTTTATGCTTCCTGCTATAGTTGGAATGACAGGCACATGCCACCACAGCTGGTTTTTTTTCTGTAGAGATGATGTCTCACACACTTTTTTGCCTCAACTGGTCTAGGGCTGTGATCCTACCAATCTCTGCCTCTGAAATAACCTGGACTCTACAGGGGTGAGCCACTGGTGCCTGGTTTTGGCCACCTCTCAACTATCACATTACTTAGCTAATTTAATAGTTCCTCAATAAATGGATGATACATTCCCATCTTCTTTAATCAAGGTGTGAAGAAGCATCTGGCTTGGAGGTTGAGGAGTTCTGAATATTATTTCTTGCTATGTTTTAGTAGCTTAGCAAGAAATTGTTTCAGCAGCTCAGTGGAAGAACAGACTAACAGTGCCTGAGCTCTGCTGGTGGCCCCCATTTTGACAAAGTTCCTCATCCCAGAAACAACAGTTGTTATGCAGTTGCCTACACACTCCAACCTCCAGTTCTTGTAACTATGAAGAACAATTGTGTGTGTGTGTGTGTGTGTGTGTGTGTGTGAGTATGCTACTCTTCAATTCCTTCCTCTCTTAAAATGATGATGGTCTGGGCTAAACCAGAATTCCCACATAACGACTCTGTCCCCAATACTGTGTGACTTGATACACTGCAACTTTCTGAAAATGTGGGATATATACACAATTTGTCCATGAAAAAGAAAAAATCTTCTTATTTGTAGAAAAATGAAAGAAACTAGAGGATATTATGCTAAGCGAAATTGCCAGACACAAAAAGAGAAGCACTGTATGTTCTCTCCTATATGTAAAAGCTAAAAAGCAAAAGTCAAAGTAGAATAGTGATTACTAGAAATTAAGAAGGGAGTGTGGGGGGTGGATAAAGGTAGGTTGAATTTTATCAGTGTGTGCATGAAAACATCACACCGAACCCCATTAATATGTACAATTCATACATGTTAATTTTATTTTAAATTAAACACACTGGTAACAAGCATTCTGGTTAATAATAAGAGCTCATAAATACTTGTTAAATAATGAATTTTCTCATATCCATGAAGATTACACTGGGAAATATCTTGAGAAATCCAAGACATTTTAAAGATTGTTATGTCTTTGGCAGAGTTAGGTGTTTACCTGGTTCTGGTTCCCCTGGAAGGTGTTAATTTCTGAGGCTTCCCAGGGGATAGCAGTGGGGAGGAAAAAAATCCCAATATGAAAGTTGTTTGTCTGTTTGCCTCTCTGTCCTTTATATACTTTCCCCTCTGTGAGGGATGCCTGGCCCCTTCTGCCCAAGAAGTGCTGACCCTTAACTGGGTGAGTGCAGTTCCAAGACTCTTTTGTTTCATGGTCAAGTAAATATTGTTTTTGGGCCATAGAATGTCTTCTTCTTTCCTCTAGAGGGCTGTTGTAGGAATGGGGTGCCTGAGGTGAGAAGGTAGAAGAAGGGAAGAGACAGTGAAGACTAAGGTTTTGAGTCACACTAACTGAGAGGATGGCAAGACTGTTATCAAATTGTTCAATCAGGAACAGACAGAGAAGGGAGAAGGTGGTTCAGCTTTGGAGAGACTGACTTTGAGGTATTGGCCATGTCCATGCAGACAAGTCCAGACTCATTGATGGTGGTTGACCCTTTGTGAATCTGAGGACATTGTTCATCAGGAAATGTCTTCCTTTGTTTATGCCTTTTATCCTTGGGTATCAAAAGTTCCAGCCTTTTCTATGTGAGTCAGGCTCTGTGTGAGTGACTTAAATGTCTACACCTCACTAAAGTGGATCACTGTGTATTTTATTATTGTCACCACTTTGGGGCTGAAGATGCATCATCCCAGTGTCCGTGTGCATGGGCTATTTTCAGCTCTGTAACATGCTCTGGCCCTACCTGGTCAGTAGGCCCATGATACTACATAGGTTAGCTGATATATAATTAGACTAAGGAGACTGAAGAGCAAATGCTTTTTGGCACTGGAATGGGAGGCTGAGGGTTGTTCAGGGTCTGGGTATCTGCTTGCTTAAGACTCTAGCAGTGAGAGGTTTCAACTGAATATCCAGTGAGGCACCTCGACTGCATAGCCACTCAATCTGGGAGATTAAGCCTTAAATTTTCACACTGCTCAGTGAAATGTCAGCACACTGGAGCCCAGTTACCCCAGAATCTAAATGGAGAAGTGCAACATAATCTTACTACTTAGAAAATCTAAAAGTGTAGTTCTTACCAGCCCTGGAGTTGGAAATATCTTCAGTGATGTGTCTTCATTTACTTTTACTGTTTTTCATTGCATTTCACCTTTCCCTGGAAAATCCAGACCATATCTCATAGCTTCATAAGTTAAAAGTTCAATAGTATGGACCACTATGATCATCTCACTACTGCCATCACTTACAGTCAGTTCTCTATCTGTGAGTTCCACCAGATTCAGACAGCAAAAGATTGAACATATTCAGAAAAAATTGCATCTGTACTGATTAAGAACAGACATTTTTTTCTTGTCATTATTCCCTAAACAATACAGTATAGCAAATATTTACATAGCATTAATAGTGTATTAGGTATTATTAATGATCTACAGATGATTTAAAGTATATGTTAGGATATGTGTAGTTTGTATGCAAATACTATGCCATGTTAAATAAGGGATCTGAATATTTATAGATTTTGTTATCTGAGAATTCTGGAACCAAAACTCTGAGGATACCAAGGAACAACTGCACAATGACACATGCATATGGGGTACAGGTTGGGGAGAACATGTCTCCTCCTTGTCTTACACTTCAGTTTCACACTCTGGGATCTTCTGTACCAAAAAGTATGGCCATGCCATTATCTGTAATTTCCTCCCTGGAACTTTGGCTTTGGGAAAATAGTCTTGCCCTCTATCTTCCAATGTCACCTTTGCCTGCCTTTTAATATCAATGCATCTATTGTTGTGGGAGTCTGACCAATGCCACTACTCTTGCCCACTAAGAGTCACATTTATCATGTCTTTTTCTATTATGTCTCCGTCGTTAACTGTTTTCTTAAATTTTATGTATCTTTGCATCTTGGCCTCTGTTGGACATTGCTACACTGATGTTTTTCATCAAGATGTCATTTTTTGTCATTAACTTTGTTACCTTTGGACTTTGTTTAGTCCACTGCTGTTGAAAAAGAACCATGGATATCAGAGCCTTGGGAAATGATTCATTTGTGACCAAATTTGTCCTGTTGGGTCTAACCAAGACTCCAGTTCTTCAGTCCATCCTCTTTGTCATCTTTCTTCTTGCTTATGTGGCTACCATTGGTGGCAATTTCAACATTGTGGCTGCCATTTTTATTGAACCCAAACTCCATACTCCCATGTACTTCTTCCTGGGAAACTTATCTCTGCTGGATGTTGGATGTATCAGTGTCACTGTCCCTGCCATGTTGCAGCATTTCATATCTAAAGACAAAAGCATTCCCTATAGGGCCTGCCTCTCACAGCTTTTCTTCTTCCATCTTCTGGCTGGGACAGATTGCTTCCTGCTGACTGTCATGGCTTATGACTGCTATCTGGCCATCTGCCAACTGCTCACATATAGCACCCGCATGGGTTGGGGAATCCAGAAAGCCTTGGTCGGCATATTATGTGTTTTTTCCTTCGGTAATGCATTGACACAAACTATTGCCATATCTACTCTTAAATTCTGTGGCCCCAATGTGATCAATCACTTCTATTGTGACCTTCCCCAGCTCTTCCAGCTCTCTTGCTCCAGCACACAACTAAATGAGAAGTTGCTCTTTGTAGCAGCAGCATTCATGGGTGTGGCCCCCTTAGTCCTTATCACTGTGTCCTATGTTCATGTGGTAGCTGCTGTGCTGAGAATCCGTTCTGCTGAGGGGAGGAAAAAGGCCTTTTCCACATGTACCTCCCATCTCACTGTGGTAGGCATCTTCTATGGGACAGGAGTCTTCAGCTACATGAGGCTGGGTTCAGTGGAGGCTTCAGACAAAGACAAGGGCATTGGCATCTTCAACACTGTCATCAGCCCCATGCTGAACCCACTCATCTGCAGCCTTAGGAATCCTGATGTTCAGGGTGCTCTATGGAGGGTACTCACCAGCAGGTTAGCTCCCAAGTGATACTCCCTTCCTCTGGCTTTCACCAATGTCATGGCTCCACTTAATGCTTCTAAAAGGTATTAAGATACATGTAAGCATAAAGAAGTGGGGTCACATTCTCAATCAGCAGAGAAAGTGCAGTAAAAATAATGACATCTATCACTTCCATCACAGATTATTACTAGCAAGGCACTATGCTAAATGACTGGCCTCTAGTAGCCCTTTTAATACTCATAACCTTATGAGGTAGATACAGATTTCCAAATTGTAGATTAGAAAATTGAATCTCAGAGAGGCTGAGTAACTTGCCCAAAGTCACAGAGCTATTGAATGGCACAGCTGGGATTTTGACCTATGGCCAAGCTATATCTGTAACTATTGCTTGTCAAGAATAAAACATCACTTCAAGGAGGAAGTGTATGTTAAGGTGAAGAGGTGGGATGCACAATGAAGAATTAGAAGAGATAGAAAAAGAGTATCATTGTGATGGGAAAAACTATTTAAGTAGATGAAAACATAAATTAAATTTTTGTTTCTTTAACAAACTTAATTTTTCCACAGCAGCTGGTAAAAATTGAGAGAGTTGCTGGATATCAATTTTAAGGCTAAAACCAATGAAAAGAAAACATATTTAAAACATAATTTTGATGAGACAAGCATTGTTTAGAAAAGCTATAGAGATGAGAAAATATTTTCACACTGGACTCCCTACAAAAACCAAGAAGGATAATACAGTTAATTAGTAGAACAACGTTTGGATTATGTTGGAAAATCTCTCTGACTGAATGGAACTCTTTGTTACCTCTGACTTAAACCTGAAACCAGTTACCTCTCTCTATATTGCTCTAAGAAGGAAGATACTTTTTTACAAAGCTGTTTTTGTAATGCAAGAAAAATGCATGTTCATCAAAATATTAGAAAGTACAGAGAATAAAATAAAAATCATCCACAGGTTCACTATTCAGAGACTATTTAAAAGAACATTTAGGATATAATTGTTAAAATGTTTTCATTCATTAAATACTTAAAAAATAGAAGTTTTACATATGCAAAGCTCTGTAACCTTAATAATATTAGTCAACTTAATAGCATAGGTGGACATCTTTCCATGACATTAAATATGGATCCTTGTTATCTTTTTCAATGGTTGCATAACTATGCCTTTAAATAGATGGATTGAAATGGATTTAATAGCCTTCTATTAGTGAACCAGTTTTGATTCAAATAACCTGGGTTTGATGGAATGTACAACAAGCATCCTTGTACATTCATTTGTGTACACTCTTCTAAGTGATGAAGACAGAAGCCCATGAGTCCTGGGTCAAAGGATATGAATTCCTTCCAGGATCTTGAAAACATTTGGCTGGACTGCCACCCAGGAAAGTTTAAACAAATTGATAATTCCAATTACCAATTACTTATATCTTTGCCAATATGTTAGGCCAAATGTTATAACAGTGTCCCTTAATTTGAAATTAATCATTAGTAAAATTATGTATATGTTTAAAGTATAGTGCTATAATTTATTTTTATGTAAATTATATATATTTCTTTGATGTTTGTCTTTTTTTCTTATAAGTTCAGAAATGTTCTTACCTTCTTAATGAGAAGATGGAGATTGAGTCTTATGTTGAAATGTGAGTGAGCATTGCCACATTGACTGAGTACGGGGTCACTCTAGGCAGCATATTTTCACCTCTTTGAGGGTGACCTTTGGTAGCAGTGCTGGGAGTAGGAAATGGATGTAGTGGGAAGATCCATGAATGGGAAGTCAGGAAGTGTAGATCATAGATGAAGACAATTCTTTGGAGAAGTTCAGCAGTGATTGGAAAAAGGGACATTGCTAGTGTCAAAAGACAGCCAGTGGAGAAACCGAATATTAAGGGAAGCTTGGACTTTTTTCAACAAAAGGAAGATGATTAAGTTGCTCAAGAACAAAGAGATCATGGATGGAATGAGATTCAAGGGGATATGAGAAGCCAGGTGCCAGTGGCTCACACCTGTAATCCTAGTAACTGGTGAGGCAGATGTCAGGAAGATTGTGGTTTGAGGCCAGCACATTGTCCCCTAACTAAAGTGATAAAATAACTAAGTACTGGACTCCAGATAATTGTTACTTCCCAGTATTCCTTTGTTAACCAATGCTTTTGTGCTTTTGTTAAACAGCTTGTTGGATTTTAAGCATATCTACTCAAGACACTTGCCTTCAAAGAATCTATAATGAACAGAAAACTACGATTTAATAATAACAATACAATGTATTATTTGCAATATTAACTGCAATGACAGAATTTACATGCTCTTTGTGATGTCCAGGAATTTAACAACCACTCACCTACAGAAATTTTAAGCATTGAAAACCAGAATCAACCTGCAATATTCATATAAAATTTAAATCTGGCTATCTATCATCTGTATTTTATCTACCTTTAATCATGCATGTCTATTTTTTCACTTATTCTTTTGAGTACTGATTACTAACTCATTTGAATAGGACCATTAGTCTGATTTGAAATCTTCCTCAAAATTTCATCAGAATGTTATAACATAAAAATTATACCACAGCTATTTTGTTGTCTCCAAGGGAAATAAGGACACTTAACGTAAAATGGTATGACTTTTTCAACTATGGGTGTAGTTCTGATAAATACCCAGCACTGTCTTGACAAAGAATACAGACAGAAAAGCTCAGACTCTAAATTCAAGGAATTCTGTATGCTATAGCAAAGTGCTGTACCAATGTTAATTATTATTATGTAATCATCCCATTGTAAGCTATTAAGATATCACTATCATGATATCTTTCAGAATAATTATTAGAGGCACAAATTTCTCTGTTGGAAGATAGCATGAAAGCTATAAAATACTGTGGATCAAAGTATATACAAATACCACTAAGTATAGAAACAATTCCTGGTATGCAAATAGTACTTCCGAATTCTCAAACACACCTTCATGCTTAGCATTTTATTCAAATTTTCAAGACATCTTTGCTTGCCATAAGTAATGCAGGTACTGTTCTTTATTTTATAGATGAAAAACTTAAAGTACTATGGTACACAGTTCTTTGCTGAGAACAAATCCTAGAACTTACCATGTTCAAAATGTGGAAGATGTTTCCAAGGTCTAGTAGGATATTTAAAAAAATCTTGAATGAATTTTCAGAGTTATTATAACTGTTTGTAATGCATTTGACTGGAAAAGTATTATCATGATGTTCTTTAAGAAAATATGAAGCATCTATTTGAAGCCTACAGCCAAACAATAATATTAATGACAAAATTCTGACAGTATCTCTTATAAACACAAGACAAGAGCCAAGTAACCACTGTAGTCATTTTTATTTAATTACTTTGGAAAGTTCTGTTACTTTAATAAGACATCCTGACTTATCTCATTCACTTTAATGATTTTATATACCCTGATAGCTCCTCATTTCTAAAATTCAAATGCATATATTCAACAGCCTAATGGACATTTCACATGTATTGCAAGCCAAACATTTAATGACAAACCCATCTTCTCCCCAGTCTTTCTCTTCTGTTATCTGTTCATTTGAATACCACTATTTTTTTATGTAATAATTAAAACTGGAAGTGATCTTTCCTTGACCCACTTAGCATTCTTAACCATCCCAGGCAGAATGCATTCACGAACCAACAAAAATGAATTGGAATGCATGTACAGTCCTGATGCCTGTTCCTTCTCATTCTCTCTGATCACATTTCTATATGATCCTAAGCTTTCTTATTTTGAAAATTGCCTTCTTCTGTATGTGGTCCTGAAATCGGTGCTTAGTTTAGAACATGAACCTCAGTTTTCCTCTATGCTTTTCCATTCCTAGGCCCCTCCTCAAGGGAGTCAGGGAGTACAGGGAGCCACTGGTTTTGCATGGGTCAGGGATCTCAATATGGTTTGAAACTGATTGAAATAGTCCAATGCTATGGAACCAGTACTGATAAGGTCTCCTGGAAGAAGGGGATGTGCACCAGGCTTAGATTTAACATGTCCTATTATGAATCTGTACAAGGCATCTCCATGTTTGTAAGAAATGTATACAGCCACCATCTTGCTCTCAATTGGTAGGGATATAAGAAACTTCATCATGTGACTAAGGTGCCATCCAGTGGTTAAATGGAATATATTAGCATATTATCTCTCAGTGTAGCAAAATCCTATGCTTATTGGTGTGCCCATCACTTCCATAATAAATCCCTGAAGTTTTTACTTTACCTGCATCTTTCACATATTTTCATCCTGCCTCAAAATTATACTCAGGTAAATTACCTACAGAGTATGTAGAAATTGCAGTAGACTACTAAGGTTCTGCAACTCTGATAATTTGGTATTTGGGGCTTGACCAGAAGTCCATTTATTTTGCTTGTCTTTGACTCAGTCTTCTGTAATTTCTTCTTTTTTTCAAGGGAGAGCACAAACTCTAATTTCTTTTTATCTGGAGAATGAATCACATTATTCTCTTTCTTTTTATGTTGAGTATTTTGGGACTGTATCTTTGACATTATGAATTATATATTACATTGACTTGGGATTCTATTATACTCCTTTTGAGAGGGTTGATTTTATCATTATCATTTCATATTTTATTTAGAAATTATATTATCTATAGTATAGTTGTTCCAATAGAAGTTACTCCTCCATTACCAAAGCCTTTGCTTTCCAATTCCCCTTATCTTGGGACAAAGGGTATTTTCCATTACTCTTAAGGAAATGCTCATGCTTTTCATTAAGGAATACAAATTGAGAAGCTCTGGGTGTACCAATTCTGCACAACTTCCTCTTCAATAAGAATATGAGAAAGTTGACTGGCTTACTTTGGAACTATTTTGGTGTTTATTATATTCATATTATGAAATATTGTTTTATGAGATAAGAATTTTTAAATTAATAAATATATTATGTGAAACAATATTGTTTCATGTAACACACAAAAACACACACACTTGATTGAGTTCATGGTAGGCAGGTGGCTTCACTATTCAAGATATGTCTTATTGACTTAA